TGACATTCCTTACTGTACAAACAACTGTGGTTTTCCTCATCGAGGCATCTGCAATTCAAGTGATGTCAGAGGATGCTCCTGCTTCTCTGAATGGCAGGGTAGGAGCTTCTTTCTCTYGTTTTTCTTTCAGTTCACAAATTGTTTTTAGTTTCATACATTGTTCGTTAACCTTATTCTTAGCATCTGTACAACTTATGTTCATCATRTATCAGGGGTCATGTAAGCTTTCTCCTCCCTTTATGCTGTTTCCTACAAATCTTTTAATGTCTCACCTATGTGGTTGTGGTCTCCTTAGAATTGTGGAGAGGTTTTCCATTTTGCAGTTCATTTATGAAAGTTTTAAGAACCTGGTCTCAGTCATAAGAGGACATAGCATAGAATCAAGTTGGGAGATGGGACGAGAGCTAACAATAATGCTATTTCCCCTAAAACTTTCTCCATGTTCTGAGAAAATTGATTATGCATTAGAATCTTAAAGCAGTCACCTAAAGTTATTATCTAGAGAAATAGCTTGTTAAAGGTGCTTTAGGGGAYTCCATAAGGACTAAGGGCAGTTGTTGATTTGATGACTTTGTTTATATACTTATTCYTTCCTCAGAACCTTTTCATTTTAAAAGGAAATGTGTGTGTTTACATGCTTTCATCTGTTGGGTTTGGTGATACTAAGTAGTTAATAATTGGCATGTTTGAGTACCAATTTTTAACTACTTGCAAAGAGTGCAGCAGAAGCCAGACCTTACATCTGTTGTTGTATCTTACCTCTGTTGAGTTCTTTGCTTTACTAGAAGATGGGTAGTTTTTTTTTGTTGTTTGTTTGTTTTATTATCACTCCTAGGTCTAGTTGTTACATTTTAGSTTTTTAAATTCGAATTAATAATTTCTTTGTGTAGTCTTCCCACCAGAAGCTGATAAAGTAGGACTTTTGATACTGAAATACCTACATTGGATATGGTCAAGTCATTATTAGAAAGTATATGATTTTGAATTTTATTAGGGATTCYTGGGATCAATACTGTGAGTGAATTAAAACCACAAAGAAATTTGTTTGAAATACAGATGCTA